TAATATAAAATCGGTTCAGTAGCAGGCGCCCCACTCAAGCCATGGAAAATTACTAATATAAATATATTCAAATTACAAAGTCGATATTTCCATGTTTGTTTATTTTTGTTGTTTCTCATAACCATGTGGTTCTACCGTTGTTACTACAGTTGACTTATGAATTCCGAAACGTCCTACATCAACAGTTTAGAAATTACGGGTTCAACTTTGCCACCCTCCCCCTAAGATTTCGCTGAAAACAGTGAAATGGCGCCACTGAATCGGTCTTGTATGCTGTGGAAAACAGTGCATAACATTTATGAACGTTCTGTAAATTATTTGAGTTTACACTACTGGCCAGACTTTTCCTTAATTTTAGAATTGTAAGCACATGGAAAGTAACAGTTTATAAAACTATTATAAACTAATTATCAATACTTTGAACTAAACGTATAACGATTTTTCCTTTTGTAAATTACGTTAGAGAAATAAAATTACGAAATTGCTCTCCAGTAATTGAAATGCACAATAAACATGAAATTTAGCCAGAAAATGCGCTTGCGCGCAATAGCAAGATAATCCCGGAAAGAAACTGTTTGGTTTGCCAAAGCTTGCTAAATGAACATTTCAACACCGTTTCCGGAAGTAAAGCGTGATTTAGTACTTAAAAATTACTTCGGGGCGAGAATTCGAAACAATATGGCAGCCTGAGTAACGCCGATCTGGTTATGATTTGTTTAATTTTTATTGATAATTGTGTTTTGAATAAAGAATACAATTTAACTTAAAACTGGTATATTTTTTATATTTGTACCTATTAAAATATACAGACGGGAGATTTTAGAGTTCAGTTAAGAACTTTATTTCGCTAAAGACTAGAATAATTAAAAATTATTAAAACAATGTTTCGCCAGTGTTTTCTGGTCAGATCTTTATGCTCAGTGTTGTAAAGATAAAAACATAAAATCATTCAATATGTGTGAACTAATTTATTAACAAATCAATAATTGGAAGGTTAAAAGAAAACTTGCTCTAACCTATATTCCTGGAAGAAATCTTGTAATTTTCTCTTATTAACTTGAAATTGCAGTAACAATGTTTAAAATGAAATACGACCATCTAAGATACGGTTGTAAGCTAAATCTTCAACATTTTTAATTTAGCTGTTTGTTTGCTAGAGAAGCTAATCATGACGGTGCTCTATTATGTAGAAAGTGGAGAAAAGTTAAGGCCTGTAAAATCTAGAATTTCGTGCAATATGAAGAAACAAGGATACGATATACATGAGAACCTGTAATAAGTGAATGTTATTGAGTATTAAATGCAAGAATTAGTTCAGTGTAAGAAAAGTTATACAGTATTAGAAGTGAGAGTTATATATATTTTGTTATTAAGTTACTTCATTAATTAGCATATTTGTCTACAGATCTAACTTCTAAGTTAAGTAAGTTATGCTATTACCATTAGTATATAGGCTTACATTAATTTTAAAGTTTATGATGAAAAGTTTATTAATGAACTGAATTAATTCGTTATCAGTATGTGGCATGAACCTGGCATTATTTTTTATCAAATAATCCAAAAGAACTGCCCCAATAAGTGTTGTTTGCATTTAACATAGTGTTTTGGGACAACATGGGACCTATTGGTTCATCTTGGCTGTTCCATCCTCTAAAATAATTAAAAGAAAAGTCTTAAAGCCAGCAAACACCTCAATCAGTCTCCCCCCCCCCTCCCAAGAGAAAATAATTTCAGAGATATCAGCCTCTCCTTGTGTGACAACCCATCCATCCCAGGCACCATTCTAGTAACCCTTTCCAACAGTTCAGTGTCTTTCATAAGGTAAGGAGCCCAAGACTGAACACAGTATTCCAAACATACTGATTGTTATATATTTACACTGTATGAGATTATTAGTGTTTTTACAAGTAATCTGTTTAAGTATTTTAAACGACCGTTTTGCATTTATCAGAAAGTGTTAGTAATTTTTGTGAATACTTAATAGTCTTGTGGAAGGAATTAGTGTCAGAAAAAGATTTTGAAGAGTTTCAACACTAGCTATCTAGGGGGGGTGTGTGCCATCAATACATTATTTCTGTGTGTGAGGCTTTAATGTTCTCTTTTGTAAGATTTAGCTAGTTAGGAGATGTTTTAGTACACGTGACAGTACTGTTAATCTGAATGTTATGCTTGTAGTTAAATTCAGTTGTTTAAAGATAAAACAAGACTGGCTAGGTTAATAACTTTGACATTTGGATAGATTTAGAGCAGCTTTCAATTTCTAGGTTTTTGTTGTGTGGAATATTAACATGTAGGGAAGAAATATCCATAGTACAATGGTCAATCTTTATTGACTTATTCATTGATAATGATTAATTGTGTTGTATATCTAATGTGAGAAGAAAAAGTAGTGTGGATGTCTTATGAAGTGGTCACTATGAGTAGATGCATAAAGCTTATTTTGTCGAGTTGGGTTATAAATTATCGGATAGGTATGATTATCAGATTTGTGTATTTTAGGTAACAGGTAAGATATCCCTGGTCAAGCCTACTTGGGTTTTAACCACTGGACATTTTTATTTTATTTTCATGGCAGTTTGATTATTTTGGAGGAGTGCTTACATTTATCAACAATAGATTAAGTAATCTGAGTGTTAGGGTCATGTGAGTGAGGTTTCATACAAGTTGTTGTAATTGATCTGACAACTTCAATGAAGAAGCCTTCTTTGGTAAGAATAACAATAATTCTAGCTTTGTATGCTGGCTTTATTGTTATACTTTGGTCTTCTTAAAAGCAATTCTTTCTTTCTGGTTAAGATTATTGTGAGAGTGTATGAATGATTTCAAAGATATTTGTATGTCATTTTCAACAACTTTAGTATAACTCTTTAAATGTGCTGTCATCAAAAACAGTCACAGCTTTTAATTCATTGATGTTATTTGAAGGTTGTTTTTATGGCTTTTAGTTTTTCTGAGGGGAATAGTTTCAGGCTCTCATTTTTAATTTTAATGAATTCTTGCTGTCCTTCAACAGAGATGTTGTAGAAATTAGTGTATTTACTGATATGCTGATCTAAGTTATTTATGGTATCTTGTCACATTTGCTTAGGAAATTTCATTATATCTGAAGAGGTATTTTTGAAAGTCTGGTGCTATGTGTACTTTTTACAAAAGAAATTGTCATTAAATCCTATTATTATAGGTGCTTTTTGTTTGAGAAGTTGGAGTGTTTCTCATCTGTTGATGACATCTGGTACACCTCCTAGTTGATATGAAATTTGCATTGTAACAAAGTTGATTTTTATCAGAAGGGGAGGGTAAGTGTTTTATTGAAATAGGTAAATGAAGGAAAAGAGTTTAAGACAAAGATTGCTTGATATGCTACACAAAGAAACTGACAAAACATAGTGTAGGTTGAATATTTTTAAGGGTTGGTTTTTGTGGAAACCCAACTGTGAAATGTGGTTGGAGACTGACAGAGATAATGTTTTCATGCTGTAGTGGTGGTTTATTTCTAGTAACATAATTTTTATTGTAATGTAGATAATTCTAGAGTGTATGAATTAGTGAAAGAAGGAAGTGTGTTTCTGGTATTTTCCTTTTTGTTATCAAGACTACAGGATGTAACTTGTTGCTTGTTTTAGCTGGGAGGAAGGAAAGGCTCATGTATTGCATGCAGTCTCGTAAACAAAACTGCAGAGTAATGTTGGTTATTAAATTGCCAAGTCTTAATGTGATAATAAATATGCTTTTTGACTTATGATTGTTGAAGAATAATACAGCTCGTGAAGAAGTATGTCTCGGTGTTTAACACAAAAGAGTGATCCACTTGTGTAACATGGAACTTGATTAGTTTTCAGTTTCTTATGACATTACATTACTTAAGCTGTCTTGGAAAATGAAAACTTCATATAGATAGAATGCAGTAATTTATGCCAAAGAAAAAAAAGGCTTGTTTAATCAAAGTACGCATCATTATATGATAAAAGTATTCAGTTTTGATGTTAGGGTTCTAAGTTACTACCTACATTTCAGGTTGAATGTAAGTTTTGCTTGATTGTTAGCATAGATACATTCATTGTAGTATCTCCTGTTGTTGTACATGTAGATTTAACAAGTCCACTAATGTTCAGGTACAATAAATAAAAGTTTTATAAGTGTAAGTTAAATATATTCATTAACATACATTTACACTATTGAATGATATCTCCTGATGTCATAATCTGGTTAATCTACATTTTCAGAGCCTAAAAAAGGAAGAAAAAATTACTATAGATAGAATATAATAAATTATACAAAATTATTTATTCTAGATTATTTTCTTTTGAATTTCTTCACTTTAGAAGCTGTTATTGTAAATTATAATATTTCACTAAGTAAGGTAAAATATTCTTTTGGTAAATGTTAAGTCAAAAGTTTTTTCATGCATATGACATAAATCATCAGTTGATTCTGTGATATTTTCTAGTGGAAATATATTTGTGTGGGTTTTCTTTTGTAGTTCTGTACCATATGCTTTAGAACACTTATGTATAGATTTTGGAAGGTATATTAAGTAAAGTTCATTGCAGATACCTCATATAAAAAATTTGTTAATGACAAGGTAAATACTGCTTATTCTGTTATTTAAATAAAAAAAAACTTGAAAGATACCTAGTAAAGAGAAAAAATAAAGAACATTTTTCATGTTAACACACTATGAAATAATGTATTACTATTTTGAGTATTAAACAAATCATTGGTATTTCAAAGTTATCTTTACAAGATTGTGTCTTCTAACAACCGACACGTCGTACAATTTTCATAATTCTCAAAAGCATTTCTTGTGTCATATACATGACTTCAGAAGTTACTAACCTTACTTGTTACTTCACAGATCTGTTGTAAATTTCTAACAATCAGTCTAATGAAGTTTGAATTTATCTCAACAGAAAATTATTTATGTTATACCCTGACCTTTTTTTACATGCATGTAATAAAATGAACTCTAACTCTTTTTTTTTCATCTTTTTTTTTTCTAGAAAATCTGTACCAGATACTGGAGAGGCAGGATATAGAAAACTCTCTAGATGATGCTGAACAACTTGAATATGAATTTCGTTCTTCATACGATGGATCTGAGACGCCATTGTTTCTTGTGAAAAGACAAGCTGATCTGAAGAAAACAGTAATAGAGAAGAAACCTATTCCTAAACCAAAGGTAGATATAAAAGTTAAAGATGAAGGCATCACAGAGATCACTACAAATCCAGATCAGACTAGCTACAAAATCAAAGCTTCAACTGTCAGCACGACCTTGGCTCCAGACAGCACCAATGCCACTGTAAGTATTTCTTGCAAATGATGTTAGAGATATCCTAATTGGGTGTAGAGTATAGAAGGTTGAATACATTTCATTAAAACAAATTTGAATATATAAATTGGCAAATCACATGATAACCACAATTGATATAAAGTTGTAGTGTAAAGAAGTATCAGAACTACATTTTGACATTATTTTGTAGGTAGTGTAATGCAACTGAAAATTGATTGTTGTGGGTATGGTATGTAATGGCCCTTTATGTTGCAAAATATTCAAACACTTAGATGAAAAAAATGCATTCTGATCATGATTTAGGTTTTTAAGACAGGAATATCTCTTGTACTTAATGACATTAGAGAAATAAGGAATATGGATTCACATGAGGTACTAAGACCACCCAGAAAGAGACCTGCAGCAAATAGTACACAAAATATGATAAGCCAAGTGCAGCATTTTATAACAGATGAGAGTCCATGAACACTAAGGTCAGTGGAAAAGGCCATTTATGTGCCCCAGGCAACAATTTGCAACATAATTAAGAAGGATCTTTCTGAAAAAATGACACAAGTCATGTATCCAAGTTGTTTCCACAACATATATGTTCAAACAGTTGGAGAATGAAATTGGTATGAAACTCTTCATTCACCAGTGGTTTTTTTTTCTTATTTGTATAGTCTTCTATTAAAGACATTACTGGGGAGTTGCAGCAATGTTTCCACAAACTCTGCATTTATATCATCTTTGCTTAGATCTACAAGTACTTGCTCTAAGGTATTGGATAATGTTGGCTTAATTAGTTACTGGCTTCAGTCAAAGTAATATTAATAATAATAAAAAAAAATGTTAGCAAGTAGTGAGAATTATAATATCATATATAATAATTTATAGACATCTTACAGTGTCCCCATCTTGTAAAGTGTAACTATGTGGCTGTTCTAAGGAAATCATCTTATAACAAAAGATAATGTGCCATAAACATGCTTTTTCCTCATTGAGAGACTGCCATATAATGTGATAATATTACTGTAGACATTACTTTTTTACAGAATCACCATATAGCAAGTGTTCGTGTAACAGTAAAATATATTTTTTTCTTGTTTGCAGATCAACATATAACATGACGATGTGTTAGTAATCACTCTTTGTTTTCTTGCAGGAAGACCATCATACCTATTACAACTCTTCAATATATACAGATCCTAAAGAAGCAAGAGCATTTTGGATAGATTTGGAAAATAATCATACTGAAGTGATTACACATCAGATGTTGTCAGATTCTCACAGGCGTGCTGCAGTACGTTATCCTAATATTTTGAATGTATTCTATCTTTTGTTGTCATTAAAAGCGTAGCCTGTGTGTAACGCGTGATTTTAAAGTATAAAGTGTATAATTACATCTTACGTGTAATTATAACTCACTTTAGTAATATTTGTATTAAAATAACAAGGTAACAAGTTATTCTTAGTTTCTTAAATGCATTTTAACTGATGATATATAACTTTTGATTTCCAATATCTTGAGTGTAAAAGATGCAACATGAAGAGTACATTGTTAGTGATATGTCATTTTATAATTATTAATCATTATTTTAGGAGCTGTGAATTTTTTGTAGTAAAATTCTTACTATCAAAATAATATACAATAACTATTCAGTTCATAAGTTTAAAGACAAATCTGAGCAATAAAATTTATTGTGTTAAAGAAAAAGAAAATATTTTTATGTTAAGACAGAAATATTAACAGTTTTTTTTTGAGATTCCAAGATATTTCCAGGCAGTAATATAAAAAAAAGTGTAAGAACATGTTAATTTCATTTTCCGTATTATTGGAGTGAACTCCATAACTGTAGATTACAAAACTGTAAACTACTTTGAGATCCCTCTACATGTCCTACTCTACGTTGTTTGATGTTTAAATCAAATAGATTTTATGTTAGGTAGAATCACCAATAAAAATGTATACATACACATCAACATGACACACCAGTGACACAATTGCCAATAAAGGCTATGTATCGACTCTGCAGGAAACACTAGTGGCACAGTTATTATTAAAGTTTATTTTTCAACTCCACAGGAAACATTGGTGACACAGTTACTAATAAAAGCTATGTCTCATCTCTACAGGGCAATGGTGATACAATTATTAATAAGTAATAATAAAAGGTCAACAAATAAGGATGATGCGGGGATGGTAATGCCAAAAAGAACGGAAACAAGGTAGGGATGAATAAACAAAAACATACAAAAATCACTACCTAAGTAGCCAAATCTTTTCAAGAAAAACTTTTATCTACAACTAAGTGTTGAACTCCTTTGATTTGTATGAATTCAAGTTTGAATAAAAGCATTTAAACTGAATAATGCTATGAAGTCTTACAATGGCTAATTCCCATAAGCTTGAAACATTGACTCAGTGGCTACGTATGTAGGGATTTTTGTATGGTTTTGTATTCATCCCTACCTTGTTTCTGTGTTTTTTGGTATTGCCATCCCTACATCATTTTTTTCTTTAAATCTTTTATATACTATTTTTTCAAACAATACCAATGAACATCTTATAATGAATAGCTGTTGCTATGAAGGCATAAATTTTAGCCTTGCATAATGAGTTGTCTTGGTAGGCATCATGTGTTGAAGTTAGTTAAACGCTATACTGCTATTTTGGTGTGTAAATCATCACAACAACTTCAAGCATTTGTTAGATAGCCCTTGTGATATCAGAATAACCAACTGAACATTTGGCTGTTATGCTACTTGTCTGTCTCTACTTTAGTGATGTTTTTTGGCTAAACTGAAGGTCTTAACAGCTTTTGTAAACCTCAGAAACCCAAGTTAAGTATTTATAAAAGTCCCTTAGGTTGTTATACAAGATATCTAAGACTATGATGAGCAATACATAATATCCCTACATAGCAAGTACTACTGTGCTTGTGATAAAGGCTATGTCCCAGTTATACACAACACTGGTAATACAGTTACTAGTAAAGGCTATGTCCCAGCTATACAAGACAATTGTAAAACAGTTACTAGTAAAAGCTATCCCAGCAGTGGAAGACATTGGTGCTACAGTTATTAATACTGCCTTAACTATACAATACTCTGGTAATAGATTGTCTAAGGTATACAAGATATTGATGATATAATTGCTAATAAAGGTTAACTCTTGGGTATACAAATTATTGACACTACAGTTACTAATAAACACCCTTGATCATTATAAGATACATAGATTGTAAGATAACACTAGATTGGATTTTGTATTTTTTGAGAGAGAGAGAGGGACAATATGTAACTCTAAAGCCAACCAAGTCATTACTTTGCCATAGGCATTTATACTGCTTAGAATCTAGAAGTATATATGAGGATATTGATTTTGTTGATATATTTATTTTTATCAAAGTTATCTAGATTTCCCTCTTATCTTTGCAGACAGTATCATTGTCCTTTGACTTCCCTTTTTATGGTCATCTTGTCAGGAATATCACGATTGCTACTGGAGGTAAATTTTATGTTTGCTTAAAAATATTTATATATGAAGAAAGGTCCAACTTTCTAAAGTACTCGGGTTACAGGATATCGTATTTTTGATTTCTTGAACCTATGTGTTTTCCTAATATCATATGTATGTGATGTACAATGATACTTATTCTTTATGTACTGTATTGTTTTAAATGAATTGGTTCTTGTCAATAACTGAAAATTTTCTTATAATGCAGCCTTTCTCTCATCCATTAGTTAGTTTAATTTAAAACTATTACGTGCATTTATTTTGACTGATGAGTTTGTAATCTCCAGTAATTGTGTGTGTGTGTGTGGCCCTAACTTGGTTTTCACTGTTGTTTCCCAGGATTTCTCTATGTAGGAGAATATATGCACAGCTGGTTGGCTGCAACACAGTATATAGCACCACTGATGGCCAACTTCGACACCAGTTTAAGTAACATTTCAACTATCAGGCTGGCTGACAATGGTATGGAGTAGAGAATGTTTTTTTGTTGCTTTGAGTAAGGTTGTGCTATGATGATTAGATACTTGTAAGTTAAAAAGTTTAATTAGATTATAGGATAAAGCTAATTGTCAAGATAATCTGAACCACAAAGGGACAAAGTTTTTTCCAAATAGAATGTTTTATGTTAGCAGCATTCTTTTCAAAGCATGCCACTGTGAAGACAGACGTTTTCCTTTGAAGAATAAGTAGCATAGGAGCAGAATCTTGGAAGAAAGACTTACTGTGGCTTGCTAATGAACTTTATCATAGCTCCATGCATTTATTATAGATTTGATGTGTAAGAGGTGTGTTAGTGATTTAAGATAAGTGCATGTAGTAAAGATGTGTCACAAAAGTGAAGGTTGTTTTATGATGTTTTGTCTTATATATATATATATATATTCCTTTTGTGTTTAATAAAGACATGTTGCAGATATAGGTTGTTGTTTTATGATGTGTTATTAATCTTGTGTAACTCTTTTGTATATATTAAATATGTGTTATTATATGTAGTATGATGTGCTTTAATTTTATGTAAGGTGTGTATAGTGAAGATGCAAAGGAGTTTTCCATGATGTGTTATTACTTATACGTAACTTTTGTTGGTATTGTGAATGTATTATCTGAAATGGTTTTGTTTGATGTGTCATTGATCTTACAGTCCTTGTGTATTTACTAAAGTTGTTTAGTCTGGTATGGTTTATTATAATGTCAATTTTTTTGTGCGCTCATTGTCTCTTTTAATAAATGGTTTTTCCATGTGATTTGAAGACTTATTATATGGTGTGTTGCTATGTTGTTCTATAAAATATGAATGTTATGTCTAATATTTTTCTAATTATTTTTGAGCCCATAGTTACATGCACACTGTTAAAACTTCTACAGTTATATATCAGTTAATTTTATTTGATGTTGAAATATTCTAGGTTCAATGTTTGTTGTCCAGTGGGAAGAGGTGGCTTTACAGGAAGGCAGCAGCAGTAAGTTTTTGTTATATAAATAAATTAACTTAGAAACATTTCTGTTATTACACTGTAGTGTGATGGTTCATGTCTTGGTATAACTTTTGTATGTTTATACATAGCTGTGGATGTCTATATTAACAGACCTGGAAATGTAAATACAATATATATGTGATTTTAAATGATGGGTCAATGTCACAATCAAGGGGACACTGAGTAACACCATTTGGACTTCTGCTGATCAAAGAAGTGTTATGCATCATGTGATTGAGATCATGTAATTATTATACATGAGTGACATATAATAATGGTTGGAGACGGCTTGAATGGGTAATGAAGAAAAACTTTAATATAATTTTAACATGACAGCAAATGTACAACATTTTAACAAGGTTTTGTCATCATCATACTTGTGATAGTTTGTCATAGTGAATATCTTCTTACTGTGTTATTATTCAGATCAGTTTGAGGATTTTGTAAGTATCTGTAATGATACTTTTATAGGTGTAACTCAACCAAGAAAGTATTATCTGTAATATTCAAGAACATGCAAGTTAACAGAAAATGAGTTAGGAATCAGAAAACAAAACCAATAACCCGTACACTTTCAAAAAAGTGGACTTTCTTTCATCAGAGTTAAATAGCAAAAATACTACCTGTCATGGAAGGTACACTTTCTTAAAGCTTTTAGAGCTTCTTTTATTGATCCCAAGAAAGTACTAAGTAAACATGGTATCCTGTCCATGAAGCTAAGGGTTATGTGTTAACTGTATGAACACATGAAGAGTGTAATATTTTGTCCTCCATGGACCTTAGGGTTATAAGTTAACTGTATCAACACTCATGAAGAGTGTAGTATTTTGTTATCCATGGAGCTTAGGGTGATGTGTTAACTGTGTGAACACTCATGAAGAGTGTAGTATTTTGTTATCTATGGAGCTTAGGGTGATGTGTTAACTGTATGAACACTCATCAAGAGTGTAGTATTTTGTCGTCCATGGACCTTAGGGTGATGTGTTAACTGTGTGAACACTCATCAAGAGTGTAGTATTTTGTCCTCCATGGACCTTAGGGTTATAAGTTAATTGTATGAACACTCATCAAGAGTGTAGTATTTTGTCGTCCATGGACCTTAGGGTGATGTGTTAACTGTGTGAACACTCATCAAGAGTAGTATTTTGTCAACATGGAGCTTAGGGTAATGTGTTAACTGTATGGGCACTCAAGAAGAGTGTAATATTTTGTCAGCCATGGTGATTAAGGTGATGTGTTATCTGTACTGGCACTCATGAAGAGTGTAGCATTTTGTTAGCCAAGGAGCTTAGAAAGATGTGTTATCTGTTCTGGCACTCATGAAGAGTGTAACATTTTGTTAGCCAAGGAGCTTAGAAAGATGTGTTGTCTGTTCTGGCACTCATGAAGAGTGTAGCATTTTGTTAGCCAAGGAGCTTAGGAAGATGTGTTAACTATATGAGCACTTATCAAGAGTATAGTATCTTGAGTGTAAGATTAAGATAACATTAAATTTGTTTTATCCTTAAAGATACTAGAACAAAGTATCTTAAATAATTGAGAATATGAAAGACTTCTAATGGTACAAATAACTTTACATTATAGAATTGTATGTATGATAAATTTTTCCAGAAGCCTGAATTATAACACAACGTCTAGTTAGCTTAGTAACCTCGTATGTTTGCAGGTGATCTTAGCTGTCTTATGAGAGTTTCCTGTGCTATTCTGAGACGATTGGTGGTAGTTTAATGTTTGCAATCAGTTAAGAAAAAAAATTCTCATTTTGAGGTATTTATTCTAATTAAAGTTGATAATTGACTTTTATTGGGTTTAATTTTTTTTCTAACATTGTAGCTGAAATCCTTAGGTAGGTTTTGTGTAAAGCATAAAATATTGATTCAAATATTTGTGTGCCCCCATGATGGCTCAGCAGTAAGTCTGAAGTTTATAGTGCTAAAAAATCAAGTTTCAATACTTCTGGTGGGCACAGTATAGATTGTCCATTGGTAGCTTTATGCTTAACAATAGACAGACAAAACATTTGTGTAAAAATTAGGGGAAATATATGTTTATGTATTTTGCAGTGTATTATTTAAGAAATCATGTTTTGTTTTTAATTCTACCTAGAAATGATTGGTCTGATAAATCCACACAGTACATTTAGGGTTAAATATGAATTATGAACCATGTGTGTTCGAAATGGATGTTTTGAATAAGCATATGTATGTGTTGCTCATACTTATGGGAACATCTAACAAGCCTATTGGTTATTTTCCTATTAATTATGTAGCTTTGGCACAGGAAATCAAATAACTTGTTATTGAACTTTATAAGTGCATGGGAAAAAAAAATAAAAGGTTTTTATAAAAAATTGAATTTGACATGATTAAGAGAAGAATTGAATTATAAATGTGATTTTGAATAATCTTGACAGAAAATTAAAATTTTTTTGTTTCTTCTCAGTTGACACCTTTACTTTCCAAGTATCATTATTTGATAATGGAAACATCGTCTTTGTGTACAAAAAGGTAAGTTAATAGTTTTTTTAATGTTATTTATGAAAGTCCAAAATAAATTTGCATATCTCATAGCAAAATCTGAGGTATTCAAAGCCTCTATAATATACAAAATATATGTCAATGAATGTGAATTTCAAATAGAAGTAGCAAGCATTGCTAAGTCAAGATTTGTTTTTAAACTGAAATTTTAAAAATTCAAAGAATACTTTACTTTTTTATTGAACTATTTATTCTAATATTGTGATCACCTATTACCCTTCAGTTAAGTGTCTTTTATTAGATTTCTTTCCCCCCCTTCTTTGGTTAATCTTTTTTTCACAAGGTGTTTTTCAAAATTTTGAAATAGCAAATTTGCATTATTTAAACTTATACAATCCCGAAAGAAACTTTACTAAAAATCTTGCCTAAGTTTTTAAATGTCAAATATATAAAAACGCTGGCTGTGTTTGTGAGAAAATAATATTAATGTTGTACAGGACAGTGTGGTCAGATGAGATGGAGTATGCTTTTCAATAATTTTGATTAAATGATAATTTTCCGTTTGAATCTTGCACACTTCAGCCCGGTATAGCCAGGTTGTTGGGGTGCTCGACTCACAATCTGAGAGTTGCAGGTTCGAATCCCGCCACAACAAACATGCTTGCCCTTTCAGCCATGGGGATTTTATAATATGATGGTCAAGTCAATCCCACTACTCGTTGGTAAAAGAGTAGACCAAGAGTTGGTGGTGGGTGGTGATGACTAAGCTGCCTTCCCTCTAGTCTTTCACTGCTAAATTAGGGACAGCTAGTGCAGATAGCCCTCGTGTAGCTTTGCGCGAAATTCAAACCAAACCTTGCACACTTTTATAGTTTGTATCATTTTACTTAAATTTGTTGTGTAATGTGCAATTTTTTGTTTGTTTGTTTCTAGCTTCTGAAATATGGCAACCTTACTGCTTGACCTTAAATTCTTTTTAATGAACTGATGCGCAATACCAAACTTTATTTAGTGAAAAATGGTTACTCTATAATTTTGTACCTTGCTTGTCTAGGTGCCAATTTCAGTAACAGAAATTAAAGATGAAGATCATCCTGTGAAAATAGGCTTGTCTGATGCTTATATATATGACAGAAAAATATTTTGTAAGTATGTGTTGTGTTCTCCAGACTTTGTTCTCTATTTATGGTTAACCTGTGAATATTTTACTTTAGTGATGTTACAGGCTTTTGCTTCTGTATTATTAGTATTTAATTATTGAGTTATAAGAGTGACTATTCAGTTATGATGTGTTCATAAGACGTACTTCTTAGCTTCTGGAAAGAATTTGGGGGAAATACGGTAAAAGGTAGTGTATGTTCAGGTTGAATGATATATATACATGCAAACAAAAGTGCTGTATTAAAGGACGTAAACAAACGAGTAAAATAAAGGACTAATGTTCAGTAATCTATCACTGGTTTATTCTAGTTCTGAGTATTATTAAGATAATCTGCCTTTAAAACTATTGCTTGTTAAGACTCATTAGTAATAATTTAACCAAATGTTTCTTTTTGTTGTAATTTTAGTAGTTTTTGTGTAGCAATTTTAGTTTAAAAAGATATTGCCCCAACTATGTAAACATTAACTTTTTTCTTCAAAACAACTCTTACCAAAAAAAAAAGTAAAACCAAAACTACCCTGAAAAACTGTTGAGTTTTATTTCAGTCAGTGTTAGCTTTCTAATAACAGTTGTGTATGTTTTGTATTATGAATGTTTTAATTAAATGAATGATGACTTTGCTTCATTTTAAGAACAAGATTTTCAGCATTTAGAGAACCCTTACAGTGCATTTGGCATATTATTTAGTTTCAAGTTACTGTACTTTAATTAAAAGATTTATTAGCAAAAGTTGGAAGAATATACCATATTATTTGAGTACCTCATTTTTTGTTATAAAAATAGCTATGTATCCCTATTTAAACCTTGTGTAACTGTTGATAACCTATGTGTATAATCAAGGGATAAAATATATAAATATTAAATATGCTCAACTTATAAGACCACCATAATTTTCTAGCAGAATAGAAAGATTGTTAACAATAAAATGTTTGTAGTTATTCGCAGAAAGACGATTTATGAATATCATAGAATTGACATGAAGCGTGAAGAAATCGGAAATTGGACGGCTTTGTATTTTACAGCTTTGCCAAGTAAGTATTGTTTTAAAAAAAAGGTGGTGGTTTTGTAGGAAAAACCTGTCATGTGTGATGTATTGTTTAATTTCTTTTAATATATTGTGATAATCTGAAAGTATTCACTTAAGTTTGTTTTTGTTTTAGAATTTTACTGAAAGGTGCACAATGTGCAAAGTTTTATTAATGTTGGCATGTTATATGTTTTGTAGACTAATATCTTATAACCTTAATTCAGTTACACAGAAAAAAGGGGGGGGGGTATTAATTATAATAATCTCAAACTCAAAAATCTAATATTCTTACTTTTTATGGTCACAGATGTTTTGAAAGTTATTAATTAAATTCTTCCTTGTTTTTTTCATTCCATAAGCAGATTTTTGAAGGTTTTTGCATGTAAGAAGTTTTTAAAAAATTTCCCTTTTGAAGGATGGGAAAAACTCTTCAATTGGTGCTTAAACTTATTAAAAGTTAAATTATTTCCTCTGTCTGATGAACATCTGCCATGGGTTTGATTCTTTTGTTGGTACTAATTATTAAATGATGAATAGAAATTCTTAATATTGGATTTTTCTTTAGCTTGTCTTAGCTTTAAAGATTGTGATTCCTGTGTCTCTGCAAACATCAATTTCAACTGTTCATGGTGTGAAGCTATCAAAAGATGTTCAGATGGTATAGATAGACACCGTCAAGAATGGATGGCTCAAGGGTGTGGAACGCAAGTAAGTGAATTTAAGTTTATGTAGTTTCTTACCACACAGTTTTTGTTGGGTTTTTTAAGCTGATGTAGCATTTTCAGTATAAAGACAGAAGAACTACAGCAGAATTCTCAACACAGTTTTGTTTAATGTTTAATAATTACATAGATTTTAGAATTATAATGAAGTACTCCTCTTTCAGCATATATATTGATTTTTTGAGACTTACATTGGTGCTACCTTAAACACAATTGAGTACTTGTTTTCAGTACACCAAGTTGTGCTTTGATCTAATACTTACAACTCGAGATTGATTGATTTTGTTTATGAACTTCAGCAGTGATGCAGTTTTTCATACTGAGAACCAGCTGGAGACTAAAAATTTTGAAAACATTTCAAGGATGTTCTTGATGTAACTAAATACTGGTCATTATTTTACATAGACATTAATCTGATTTTGTCAGCAGTATCTTTCTACCTAGAGATTAGCTGTGCTTACATGGAGAAAAATTGTACCTATGTTATAAGCAAGAAAAAGTTAATACTGCTATAAAAAAATTATTTTAATTCCTAGAGGTTGCTAGAAAATTGGATTTAGGGGCCTAATTTATACATAACCTCAAACTTTCACAAACAAGAATAACAGGAAAACATTAACTTCCTACAAGAAACTATAATTTTATTTGTACAATAGTTTAAGAATCATCATATTCACACGCAACTAAAAACCAACAAATGTGATTAGGAAGTGAGGCAATTTTCAATTTATACACTGTCTTGATTATATTTATTATAAATCTGTCAGCAATTCACTTTGAATGCAATAGACTTGCTGATTAGTAAGTTAATCAGTATTGTAGTAAAATTGGTTTCTTTTTAAATGCAAAAATAATTGTATCTCAGTGTACTTTTAATGAAACACCAAAATAAAAAAAACTACATGAAATATAAATTTTCAAGTACAGTCTTGTTTGAAATAGCCGAAGATATTAGACTTACCCAAATACATTGTGATAAAATAGACATATCCAGATATATTGTGATAAAGTGCAACTTTCTGGTTACTTATTTAAAAAAAAAAAATGTTTGCCATTAATTTGTTATTCAGTTAAAATCTTTTTACATTATGAAGTATTCCCTAAGTAAGAAAGAGAATTGAAAATTTATTGGAAAGGGTATAGTGGTTATAAAAACGAGTTATGAGACATAAATGTAATATTTGATAGTAAGCAAGTAAAGACAATTTTTACTTAGTTACATGTCAGGTAAAGATCTTTATGTTGTGTGTGTGTGGTGGGAGAGAGAGAGTTAATTAAATCCATGGATTTTTTTTGATTCAGGTGAAATCTTGATATTGTTATTTTTTAAACTTCATACAAGTACAGATTTTTTGCTTGATGTTTTATTCTAATAGTTAAAATTGAGATTATTATTTTAGGCTAACAAAGAGTGTTCAGAAGCAGCAACTACTGTTCCTCCCAAACCATCTCCATCAACTTTGGTAACGACAACAGAAGAATTTACTCCAGAGAATGCTACTGGTAATTATTACATTAATGTTGTGGTACCAGATATTATTGACTGAAGAAATTTGATATAAAATTAAGTAAAGTTCTTGGAACTCACACAAGTTTTTATTGGTTGTACATGATAAAACTTGTGTATTTTATTCACGATATTTCATCAGGTTTACCTGGCATCGTCAGGTGAGATACAAGAATTCATTTAGTCTCAGTTTTTGTATCTCGCTTAATGATGCCAGGTAAATGTGGTGAATAAAATAAAAATTTTACTATGTACAAGTGATAAAATCTTGTTGAATTTTATAAAACATTGCCCTTTCTAATATTTACTTCTTGTAATTGTTTCAACCTTAATATGATAAAAAAAATTCATGAATTATCACAAATAGAATTATTCATTGGAAGTCTGGTCTTTGAGTGCAATATCACATGTTTAAAAAGATATAAAAGCAAAAATCACAGTTGCTTGTGTCAACTAATAGATAGTCAAATGATTATAATTGCATGGTTTTATTTACTTTGTATCATATATAGTTTCATTATCATGCCTACATCAGAGAGAAATAACATGATTAATTTCAGTTGCAAAATAAGATGTTTAGTTTCTTTGTAACTCATTCTCTACATATGGTGCTGTGCTCATGTACTAGTGTCATCTGTAGTACATATCTGAAAAAGAAAGCAGCATCAGTGAATAGAGAAAACTTTTATGTACATTTTGACAAAGTGAACATTTCTTTAGTGATTATCAGAGTTGACAATAGTAACTAGTTGTGTTATTACCCAAAATACCAGGGGGAGAGATCCCCAAACTTAATCTTAAAAATTTGAGCTTGGTCAGAAGCTTGGTCCAGAAAAGGTTGTTGCATTATAAGCCCTAGTTGTATTTGTTACACCTATTATTATTATTTTTGGTTGTCTGTCATTATCCCAAAGTGGATTTTTGGGTGGTCACCAGAAACTGAGTTATGGGCCATGTAACAAGTATATGAAATATCAAAGACCCATGAACTCTACTACTTTTTTTTTTTGAGACACATACTTCATGTTTCTCTTGTTACATTCTTTTTACTTGCTGTATGACAGGTAAGGTTACTACTTTTTCATCATCTACCTTTACCACCATCCCCACCACTACCACTGCTGCTACTATCAACCCTGAAGCAAAGTCATCAGCTCATTCTGTTATGACCACTACAGTGATTAAAGCTACCACCACCACAGAAGAACCATCTCCATCAATACTAACTTTACCTCTTACAACTATAACTACCGAGAAATCTCAACCAACACAAAGTGCTCTGGGTAAGTTGGTCTTGCATTCTTAAAGTTCTATGGTATATTTAACGGAAAATATGTTAGATGAAGAAAAGTTACTAAATCAACAGCAAAAACAACAACTTTTATTTATTTTTTAATTAATTAGGCGTGTTACATTAAAAGTTAGGATATTGTTGAGTATACAAGAACGTAATTTAGTTGAATATGTTGTAAGTGTAATAATCAAACATTACACTTTATTATGAAAATATTTTGTTATCTTTACCCCATAGTGTCATTAATGTAATTGAGTACTAAAAAATTAAACCTTTAATTCTTGGGTACAACATCTTATTTGTGCTTCATAAATTTGTAGAATTGTACTTTTTCTCTTGTTTAGCAAATACAAGGTGAAGTCATGTCAGACGTAGCAATACTTTTAAAATATGATCTTGTGCAGCGTCAGACAGTAGTCATCTTTTGTTTTCTTAACTGCTCTTGCAGGATGTTAGTTTATTATTAAATCTTAACATGTCACAGCCAATTTTACAGTCACTTTAAGAGTTTTCTCTATAAGTCCTATCGTTCTGATGTTTGTATTTTCAAGCACATTTTTCTTAATGCTTGTGGCAGTGTCAAATAGTATAGTGGGTTATATCTGTCACTAAAAACATAGTTTCTTGTAGTACTATAGGGATGGGTAACCTTGCAACACAGATGTAAGGTACTTCAGTTGAGTATATAAATTAATGGATATTGCAGAACCTGTCATTATTGTTCCAAGCTTCAAAAGTTAAAACACAAAAGAAAACAGTAAATATAAAGTAATACTCTTTCTCTGCACTAGAATTATAGATATATTTTTTATCATTGTATTGTGTAAGATTGCACTTCTAATTTGGAGCAAAATCCAAGAAGGAATAATGAATAGGTCCTGTGGTACTTATGTCCAGAAAAATGCCTTGCAAAAAATGTAGTGTATGGATTATTGTTTCATATCTGGGAACCTACTAAGCATGATTTCAAATTTGGTGACGAGGAACCCACTTTGAGACTAATAATGGCTGGAGATTGTCAAGATAAAAAAAAACACTAACATCTTGTTTATCAAAACAAAACATTTATTAAATTAAATAGTCTCCATTCTTATCTATGATGCTTTTCCATCTTACAATCAGGTTGTTAATACCCTGATTAAAGAAATCACTTAGTGTTGAAGCAAAAAAACATGTCGATGTCCTCTTTAACACGTTCCATATTTGCATAAGTTTTCCCATTAAGATGGTGTTGCAGCAAACGAAAAAAAAAATGGTAATCTGATAGTGCCAACACAAGATTTTTGAGTGGGGGGAGAACTTCCCAACCCAACTCCATAATCTTGCGTTGTGTTAAACGTACCACATGTGGCCATGCATTGTCGTGGAGAAGAACACCACCTTTCTTATTGACAAGTGAAGGGCATTTCTGATGAAGGGCTTGACCTAAATGTTCCATTGCTGACTATAGATCTCTGCATTGACAGTTTGCTGTGGATTGAGGAGTTGGAAATGAATTACTCCTTTGATGTCCCACCAAGTACAAAGCATCACTTTCTGTGGATGGAGTCCAGGTTTTGAGGTCAGAAGTGGTTTTTGGCATTTAATATTTGCATAGAGATTCCATTTTTCATCAACGGTGACAATTATGTCAAAAAATGGTTCACGCACATAATGCAACAGAAAAGACGAGGCAACATTCACATGTTGGAAACGATGATCATCAGAGAGTTTGTGAGGCACCCAAACACCTTCTTTAAGGAGTTTTTCCCATATTCCTTGGATGTTTACTTTTTGTTTCATGAGAGACACTTAATTTCAGGGCCATTTCACATGTGTGTTGTCTTGGGTTAGACTCAACAAGCGTCTTCAGAGCATCAATAGCAATTCCAACATGTCGGCCCCAGCCATCACAGTTTTTATGGCTAAAGTCACCTGAACGAAATTTGCTTAACCATCATTGACACTTACAAACGTTCAAAACATTTCCATAGACTTTGATATTCTTTGTGGCTACAGAGGCGTTGTTTCCCTTCTTGTATTCAAACAACATTACATGCCAAATGCGTTCTCTGCCATCACTATAAAGGATTAGAGTATACTAAACTTTACACATTATATAGGCTACACTGAGGTGACGTTTAGGCGGTTCATCTAACTATTATGTACGTTTTTTGCGGGGTGGTATATGTACATATACACAATATCTACTGGACCAATTTAAGTTACAAGTTCACTTTTGTTAGGTTTTGCCATTACAAAGGATTTCTTCTAAGTGATAGAAATTTTATAAATATTAACATGATAATGATTTGTATATTACTTGTTTTAGTAGCAGAGGAGAAATCATCAAGTAGCTCATCGTTTGGTGCTGGTGGAGTTGTTGCCATTCTACTGATCCTTGCCATTGTTCTTGGTGTTGGCATTTGGATAGGTTATGCTTATAAAAATCCACAAACTGCATCTGGACAGTTACTAATCAAAGTGAGCACTTGTCATTCTTCAAAACACATTTTCTCTGATAAATTTTAAGAAAATACTTGAGTATGTTATGATGATAAAAATAAAATAAATGAAAGTTATTTCATAACAAAAGCTTCTGAAATTAATTAAGGAGACTTGTATGTTAAAAAATAGTTAAAAATCTGAATTTCAAAATATGGTTTTAACAATACTTTATTGAAGTGAAATTTCAGATATAATGCTTTACACATTTCTTCAATAATTCAGTTTTTTTTTTAAATAAAACCTTATTCTTTCTGCCCTTTAGTATCGGCCAAGCCAGTGGCGTTGGGGTGGACAGGCAAGATATACAGCTGCATCAATCCACATGTGACAGTGTAATTATTATGGAAATCACAAAACTATAGTGAAAATACAGCTGTTTTTAATTTTGTGTTGAAATATGCTTGTTTACCCATGAGAATTCTGTAAAGTTCTCTAACTAAAACTTTATATTTTTAAACAATTAAAAAACAGTCCTTTAGGAATATGTCTGTAATTCTGTTTTTGTAGGTTAACTTTTTGTATAGTTATAAACTGTTCATCTATAATGGTGCCTTCAGAAAAAAGACAATTAATTTTATGTGCACAATGTACAACTGTGATGTATATTTTTGTACATTTACATAGTGCATATTACAATCAAAGACTAGTAATCTACATGCCACTTGCTATACTGTGGAAGATCTGAATGGGGAAAAACAAAACACTTTACACTAAGTATTTTTTATCTCAAGTGTGAATGATATTCAAGTTTAATGAAATATTTTATACATTGTACTTGTAAAGTAGTTTCAATTAAGAATTTTAAAAAGGGATGGAGATTTATTTTTAGCTGTTCTTTCTCTTTTAGCTTTCACTGTTTTTTCATTTGTCAAGTAATGATCACACAGTTCTCGAATCTCTGCATTTTGTGTATTTTTGAATACATATGCAACTATAAAAGAAAATTTGCTGGAATACTTTTACTGTTTGACAAAAAGTAGGTAAATGGTCATCTTATTTCTACAAACTGTATTGATCAATTATTAACAAAAAAGTTTTTATTTGTATTACACATGTTAAAACTGCAAACTGGCCAAAGGCCCATGAACAAAGCTGAAGAAATGCAGGATCTGTTTGGATGAAAAACTGAATAAACTTTTTAAGAAATTAATTGATGTTACAAATTATAAGTTGCTCTATTATTTATAAACGTTTCAGAGTTTTTGTTTCTAAGATTAGTTTTAACTGTACAAATCATTTGGGAAAAGATCCTGTACTAAGTTAGATAATTAATATATGCATTGGTCCTTTTTTAAATAGTAAATAAATATCGGATAGTTTCATAAGTTTTTTCTTAAGATCAGTTTTTGCTGGAAGCTTAAGATGTGGGACTTGTGCAAGTTCTCAGTTTATTGCTTAAATATTGTATTTCTTCATCTGGAAATAAAATCATTATTATTGCCTCCAACACTGTCTACTATTAGTAGTTTTGAACTAGTGTAGAAACAGACTAAAAGGCCTCTGAAAATATAGTGTTTGATTATAACCTACTACACCATATCAGTGAAAACATGAGTGTTCAACAGATTAAATGTATCAATATTTATTGTTTTTGAAAACAATGTCTGATACAAGTTAATTTTCCTCACATAGTGTTTTTAAATTACCTCCTGGAACCCAGTTTCAGTGTCTTGGTCCAAACCTGATTCAACAGCACACATTGTTAAAACACAGAACTCCTAACCCACCAGTGGCTAAACTACAATTAACTTCAAAGCAGTCTGATTAAACTAACCTCTATATAACTAACTTCTTGCATTAACATTTTCTTCAAGTATTAGTTGAAAATTTAAAACTACTTAAAACTTTATTAAGTTTAACATACAAAAATTACTAATATATTTTGAATTCCATAGGCATAACTTCAATTTTGTACTATGCTGGATTTCTGAGAAAATTGTTCAAACTTGTACAGTTAGATCTGCTTTCCAGTTTTTTGTTTTTTTTAATATAGATCCCATTGGTTTTGTATGTCAATTTTATTTGCTCTACAACTAAAATTGGACCACATTTCTGTGTTAGGACCATAACTTAATTGACATTGATTCTCTTGATATAAAAACCACAACAATAGTAGCTATAATATACCTTAATTTTTCACTTTTGGAACCAGTATCTGAATGATTTTATATTTAATAATCTACAACTCATTCAATTAAAAAAGTTTAATTAAAGGCTCAAGGTTTTGTATGGCAACCTGATAAGTCTTTACAAGAGAGTATATGGAGCCTGACACAAAATCTACATTCTTAGAATCAGTACGAGACAGATCAATTTTGGAATGAAACTGAAACTTTTTTTTCTTTCTTTTAACTTGTGCCTAGATATACATTTCATAAACAGTACATAGATATTACAGTGTTAATTAATTGTTCGTGATGAGAACCGAGGTACCTTCTAGATGTTCGCCTCATGAAGATGTATTTGACTAAATATATTAACAATATTTACATTTTCTATGTCACATCAACAGTCTTATCTTCTTATCTTGTCTCCTTCCTCAATGAGACTAATTAGTTTCTGCCGGCCTTTCTTGTTGAGCTGAGTTACACAACTGACTAGTCCAATAAGCTGTTTTGGAGTGTACTCCTGAAAGAAAAAGTTACACATCAACTGCCACTAAACCCACAACAAACGATTTCTACCCAAAATACTTCAAGGTGCTTTGGTTTCAAAAAGACATTGCAAAAATAAGATGACAATGGTTAAAACATACAAAGAAACCCTTTAAAAATGAATTAAATACCCTACATAAAAAAAGCAGTACCTAATGGCTCTTATACAGTGAAATAGTACAAACTACATTCAGAAAACCCTTTAGCAAGGGAACTACATATAATAAAATACAAACTCAACCAAGATACCAGTACACACACAGTAATACAAATAAATCATTTAACCCTCTGGTTACAAGTGGGTGAAAGTGTGCATATCACAATCTTTTTATAAACTATATTCAACATTTAATTCAACAACTTTATTATCAATGTAGGTCAGTAAACTTGGCATCAAAATGTAGTTTATAATTCAAATTTTTATATTATTAAAGTTTTAATTTCAAAAAGAAATATTTAAATACGTTCCCAGTCACATGACTTGGTGGCACTGACATCTCTTTTATAGATTTTTTTCTTTTCTCTTATGAGTGATTCATATTGTCCAACCATTTAGAAATACATAATACACATGAAAAGTTAGAATATAAAATTTCAACCTCCCGTTACTTCACAGATATCACTTTATTTATTCATCCCATACTGACATGCGTCTTCCATACCCTTTTAGAAATGTCTAAAATCTCTCTAACATTGCAACTGGACATATTTGTAACCAATATGTAAATCATATGATTGTTTTGTTTTACTGGTAAAAGACAATAATCTGCCATGAGAACTTGATGTATTTAGACTAAAGGCACTGCTCTGATCAGTAATGAAATATATTTAACCTATTTATATATTAGTTAGAAAGCCAGATAAATTATAGCAGTTTTGAGACATTCAAATCTAGTGTGTGATTTATTTTTAATATTCTAAAATACATATTTGAAAGCTGTATGAAATATTTTTGACAACCAATATAGTGAGAAGAAAATAGGCTTACTACACCATGTACCCTAGTGCAAAAGGTTTCAAAGCTAAAGTACTAAATTTCTCTGTTTTTATGTAACATGTTGTAAAAATTAGAAACTTAATAGGTTAGATACAAAAACATAAGTAAATAAAAACTATGTAAAATCTTTCTCACAGAGATGTAACTCAATACTTTGTTTATCCTAATTTACACCATGTTCTTCCTGGGTGATTAATTGCTGAGTTATACTAATTAGCCATGGTTTAAAGTACAATAAAACAAAATTAAATAAAAACAGATGTGAAACAGTTGAGTCTGAAGTTGTTAAGGATAAACAATTGTAATAATCTAATAATATGTGGGCATTCTAAAAAATATATATATATTTTTGATTTTATTTCAAATTCTTCAAACTTTGCTATGGATAATTTTATTACAATAGTAGGGTAGAGAAAAGAAGATGTTTATCAACAAATTTTGTAATTTATTTAGGAAGTTTTAGAGGTTATGCAAACAAAATATGAAAGACTTTCGGTAAACATTAAAGGCCTTTGGTAGATAAAAGATCAGCATTTGTAATTAAGTATTTTTACTAAAACTGTGTAATTATATGGTGTTAGTGTTGACTGCTCTAAGTGCAAAGTGATTTTCATGCTAAAATTAAAAATACTTTTAATCATATGAAATTTTTCAAATTTCATTTACTTTTTATCCCTAAATATTCATCAAATGTTTTTTTTTTCAGAAAAACTTTATCTTTTATTTTCTATACTATAACTATAGAAATTTGGTCAACTTCATCGACCTAATAATCACCATAAAACAATTAGGATATAATTCTAAATTACCTTTTTTCTATCAGGAATGACTACAAATTGTAACAGTACGCCACAATATTCTATCCTAAACAGCTTAAAGCTTGTAACAATATACATCCATTTATATTTGATTTTACTGTTTTATTGCCTTTTGAAATGTGTCTAACTAATACTCCTGTCACAGTAGTTGTAAATCATTTGGCAAAGATGTAGCTCATGTAACCCTATCAAATTATGTAACACATGAGCTAGTTGCGAGCATACCTCATGAAGAATTACTGTTATTATTTTACCTTATCTAACCTAACAATTTCTAATTCTTATATTTTAATTACTTTCATAATAATATATAAAGAATACACATGAAAAATAACAAATATAGTACTTACCTGGACCTTCTTTTTCTTTGCTGTCGACCATCAATGAAACTTAAGCCTACTTTTCTTTTATACTAATGGTTTACTAATTTATGGCTCTGTAACCAAATAAAATTGAAGGCTATAAAGATTATGCTTTACCTGAGTAATAAATATATTATAATGAGTAATTTACGTTAAATTCCATACTCCTCAGAAGAATAGTAAATATATTAGAAGAGAGGGAAGACCTAGACAGCAAATGTCACAATTTTCATACTAGGAGAGATTGATGAATTTTTTAATATATACACCTGGAAAAAGTTAAGCACCCCCGTGTTTTTTTCAAGTGATTCAGATTCGACGTT